TCTACCAGACCCCCTGGATAACATAATGGACTGCTGCTGTAATTGCTGTTTTAAAGGGCGCCTGCTACTCGTGTTGTTGTTGCCGTTGTTGCTGTTTAGACGGGACTTCTGACTTATGTTGTTATTGCTGTTGTGGATGTTTAGACGGGACTTCTGACTTACGTTGTTATTGCTGTTGTCGATGTTAAGTTGGGACTTCTGACTTATTTTGTTATTGCTGTTGTGTTTGTTGCGCAATAACGATGTCTGTTTCTTTTAGAGACATGGCTTGGTCATTTACTGGAGGAATGTTGGCGATGTTTCCCCTGTATCTACAGCAATGTTTGATGTTGGAAGCTGTGATGATATGTAAAGAAATGTCTACTATCTGTTTTAAGGTGATATCTACCAATTGTGTTGTAAGTTAATTGCTGTGGTAATATGAAAAGCAATATCTGCTCATTGCGTTATGGTAACTGGTGTTCATATTTAAATGGTATCCTACTACTTCTGTTGGTTTGGTTGCTGCTGTTGTGGTGGCGATATTTAGAGGATATATACAATTAGATTGGTTGTGTTTGTTGCTGTTGTCGGGACGAAGGGTAACTGCTACTTGTGTTGTTGTCGCTGTTGTTGTGGTGATATTTAGAGGGCACCTGCTACTTGTGTCGTTTTAAATTGCTGCTGTAATTGCTGTTTTAAAGGGCGCCTGCTACTCGTGTTGTTGTTGCTGTTGTGGATGTTTAGACTGGACTTCTGACTTATGTTGTTATTGCTGTTGTGGATGTTTAGACGGGACTTCTGTTGTTATTGCTGTTGTGGATGTTTAGACGGGACTTCTGACTTATGTTGTTATTGCTGTTGTGGATGTTTAGACGGGACTTCTGACTTACGTTGTTATTGCTGTTGTCGATGTTAAGTTGGGACTTCTGACTTATTTTGTTATTGCTGTTGTCGATGTTTAGACGGGACTTCTGACTTATTTTGTTATTGCTGTTGTCGATGTTTAGACGGGACTTCTGACTTATTTTGTTATTGCTGTTGTGGATGTTTAGACGGGACTTATGACTTACGTTGTTATTGCTGTTGTCGATGCTTAGACGGGACTTCTGACTTATTTTGTTATTGCTGTTGTCGATGTTTAGACGGGACTTCTGACTTATTTTGTTATTGCTGTTGTCGATGTTTAGACGGGACTTCTGACTTATTTTGTTATTGCTGTTGTGGATGTTTAGACGGGACTTATGACTTATGTTGTTATTGCTGTTGTCGATGCTTAGACGGGACTTCTGACTTATGTTGTTATTGCTGTTGTCGATGTTTAGTCGGGACTTCTCACTTATGTTGTTATTGCTGTTGTCGATGCTTAGACGGGACTTCTGACTTATGTTGTTATTGCTGTTGTCGATGTTTAGTCGGGACTTCTCACTTATGTTGTTACTACTACTTATGTTGTTGTGTCGATATGCTCTGTGTGTTGTCTTGGTCGTTGGTGTGGTGCAGGAAATATTTTGATGGTATCTACAACTTGAGTTATGACCTCACTGTGAAGATCTGAGTTAGAATTGGTCTTCAGCAACCATGCTTGTCGTAAGAGGCAACTAACAGGATCGGGTGGTCAGGCTCGCTGACTTGGTTGACACATGTCATATTCCAATTGGTGTTCATGCTGTTGATCACTGGATCATCTAGTCAAGACTCGATTATTTACAGACCGCCACCATATAGCTGTAATATTGCTGAGCGTGGCATTAAACAACAACAGCAAACAAACAAACATTGTGACCTCTGTGTGTGAAATGAGTGCATGTACCTCTACACCTCTACACTGCATTCATACAGTGCACATATATTTATGTTGTATAAAATATCTTTGACTGACTGAGTTTGGTTTTACACCGCTTTTAGCAATATTCCAGCAACATCACACCGGGGGACACCAGAAATGGGCTTCACACATTGTGCCCATGTGGGAATCGAACCCGGGTCTTCTGCGTGATGAGCCAACGCTTTACCCACTAGGCTACTGCACCGCCCCGAATATCTTTGAATACACATAACAAACAACTTACTAAAGCATTCAGTATAAATTTACTTCATTTATTAAATTACATAAACAGCACAAACTCTGGATATGAAAACCTGATCTTCAAAAATAAAATATATCTTAAACATACAAGCAGCAGGTATTGACACACACTTCAGTAAAACAATCATATCACAGATGGGTATCAATGCTGAGAGCAGTCTACACAAGGATCATCTCGGAGTGTTTCCTCTGTACTAGACATCACAGATCCGTCATCAAAGCATATCTCTACTCAATAGATATATTTGTTGTAAAATATGTGTACTGATAACATCAAGTAAACATTTGCAAAAATCCACATTTAATCACAACCTTTTTTTATTAAATAATAAACATGGGAGTCTTTTGAGATGCCCATATCCTTCACTAATCTCATAACACTCCAGCATTGGTACTAGTTTGGTTAAAGCTTGAAAATAGATTAAAAGCTTAAAGGAAATATGAACAATAAGAATAATTAGTATATTATTCAGGATTATCTTAAATCCACTTAGCCAAACTGAGACAGCCATGAGACGAGTATTTTATGAAATATCCACTTTAAGATGGCATAACTCAACATTGGTTTCATAACAGAAATCTGATTCTATTTTGGTTTCCAGTAAAAACATTCTTATGATTAGTCTGTGAATATAGAAAAATAGGATACCGTTTAGGAACTTAGCCGTAAATCCCTTGACATCTGTTGATGACATACATCTACTGCATAGAGTAATGTGTTACTACTAATACCCTGAACCTAAGTATTAATACTGATGAAGTAAGTACTGAACAAACAATCACAAGTACTGGTGTGAAGACATGAGACAATAGTCACATAAATAACCAACAAAACCAATGAGCAAACAAGAATTCAACAAAGGATTAATGATAAAAATAAATAATAGTCATCTGGCCTGTGTTGTACTATTTGGATTATCAGTTAACATGGCTACAGTGAGGAAATACTTCAAACAAGGCTTCATACCAGCAGCGAAGTTCTGGCACGTTGTTGGCCAACTGCCTCCATGTGGCATACTGTACAATTAGACATACGAAAAATATAAATTTTACTGAATATTCATAAAGCAGTCACAGATCAATTATTAAATCTAGTCCAACCATTAATCTTCCCATTATAGGGTGCTTACAGCCTCAGTATGGAACTGTTACAGTTAATATTCATACATTAAAGCCACCTGTTGTGATGAGGGGGCGTGTCTCCCAAAACCATGTGTATGTTTTAGCCTTAAATCACATCAGCAAACCAATTTGACACAGAAAATCATTAAGAAATTAAATCATACAGAGTTCTTTAAAATCACTTCAATCAGAATTGCATAGAGTTTTGGTACGAACAGTTGGTATCGGGGGTTATTGTAATAACCTTGGTAACACGAGAGACTGCTTACAGTCTATGCCAAAAACATTCATGTCTACATGTCTGAATATTGGTATCAATATTAGTCTTTGCATATTAAAACACAAGCTGATCTTACTAGACCAGGTGAAATATTGACACAAGTTAAGGACTAGTAGCTAATCCAGCAGGATGTAATTGGGATACCTTGGAAAACGAACTGATTTCTACACTGCCCAAACATGCTGGCTTCTTTAAGTATCAGTTTTAAAGTTGCAATATGAACGAAAAGTAGTGCATAGTCATGTCACCTAATCTTATCACTAAAAGTGACAGATGTTGTTTTTGTAAGTCTCTGTGTAATAGATAACCGAGTTACAACTTCACAATGTTGTGTGTAGTGATTTGGTCATGTGTGACGTAGGTTTGTAAAAACATGAATAATCATTTGAATGCCTCAAATGAGATTTGGCAATGCAGATTTAAACCAAACTTAAATTAAATGTTCCTTTTTTGGCAGATAAATATCCCTGTATTTGAAATACCTGTCATTTATTTAACAGGATTTATAAAAAAAAGTTGGTAACCAAGAAGTTCCTACCCGTTTACAACACTAACTTGTGATGTGTAAGTACTGAATAACAAAGGACAATATATACACGAGTAAAGCACATTGGAATCCATCGTCAATACTTCACGGGTATGATTGTACTACATATTCCGGTCACCTGAGAATCACATTTGACAGTTGTAGTTGTAGCATTGATCTACGCAATTGGGATACGATGACAAGTCTAACCGGATCTTCATGGGTCTGATGCCAGGACGTTTTTGTCATCTGATCTGAGAGCTCATTGGTCGAATATTCACTAGTATTCCTCATTGGAAGAAGGCTGACTCTTGTTTTGCTGATAACAGACAGCCACACAAAGCAGTTGTGTATGTGTGATGGAGGAACATAATGTATACACACCCGTTTAGTTTTGACGATGATGAAACCAACTGTAGCAGCTTTTAAGTACAAATGGCAACATTGCATAGAACTTTCAAAAATCAAACATCAAGATCTTGACACTGATTATATTCCATATCAACCGTGTTATGAGCAAAATAGTAAACAAATCAATATTCAATAAACATCGACAGTGTTTTCAGTAAGATGGTGATACAACTGGCCTATATTTTTATTTTGATGGGTACTGACAACAAGTAGTCATCCATTCGCATCTGTAATGCATCATTTCACCCTCAGTTTCAGACCCTGAATGTACTAAGGTTCAACTTTTTTCAAATTATGAAATTATTTTAAAAGCATGCCTTAGTATCATTCTCGGTCATCATCACACAGCACTACCACTATCATCATAAACAACACTCACATCCGTCATTTTTAATTATGAAATCTGGATTTTAAAACTACACAGAATGCTTTGTCAGTTTTAAAAACATATTTAAGTTTGCATGTATGAAATGCAGATTGAGAATGTCCTCCTTATAGAACTAACTTTATGGATAACAACTTCTTATTATTCGTGAGTGCACTCACGAATAAAAAGAAGTTGTTATCCATAAGGTTTGTTCTATATTGTACTTCCCAACTTCTAAAATGCCACTCAAAGAAGTTAAATGTCTTCCTTGCAAGTCAATTCCAACCCTCAACTTACAACTGTATGCATCAGTTGAATAACACACAGATGACAAGAGATTTCATTCTCATAAACATATTTAAACTTTCACATACATACACACTATTCCTAAACCGAAAGTAGAAAATTGTAGCAGGGGCAATAATCGACATAGATGTAATAAGTCTATAAATTAGAATATTTGGCACTTAAGACACCATTCATCATTAAACCCAACATAACATGTTGTTTCCCTATTTTCCATTGCCCTCAAAAGCAAGACGGTAAAACTGTCTTTCCATCTAATTTCCTTCATAAAGATTTCATGAGTTTCAGAACTTGAACGTTTGCGTAAAAAGGCCCAGAAATGGCCAGCTTTTAGAAGCTGTCAATAGTTTTCAAAATTATATTGTCCTTTTGAATCGAGAACAAGCTGTTGGCCATTCTATTTTCTCTCAAATTGTTCTAAACACTACAATTTCAATAATTCTCATTCTTTAAGAAAGGATTATGACAGTTGTAATGCTGCAACCGCTAGAACTAGATCTGGATATGTGCCAATAATGAGCTTCTGTCATCAACTCAGATTCTGTGAAAGTTGTTTAAGTCTCGAATTTACTTTAATGCTATGATTTTCTATTCTTATTATATAAACTTAAGATAATCATAGCACTACAATAACTTCATGAATGGATGGTTGGATAATATGCTATCTGGCATCAAAATTTGATTCAGTTATGTGGGGAACTATCTACTGCTGGAAAGAAACGCTTAACTGTTTAGTAAAATAATACAATCAGCTCTCATCCATGAACAAAATATCACTGACATGATTCTACTTGATCTCTGTTTGGTAGTAGGAGTTAAAGGTTACAAACTTAATTTGAAAACATTATTACAGAAAAAAAGAATGTGAATACGTGTTACTGTAATGTACAGGAGAGAAGTGTTAACGGAAAACCAGAAAAGTATTAACAGAAAAACTAGAACATGAAAATCAGTGTCTGTCCCTGTAGAACCAAATCTTCCCTGAAATCTGTTAGTTTCAGAGTTTCGTTAACAAACTGAATGGGATGATATTGCAACCACAATGATGATAATGCTGCTATAATGGGGTTCAAGTTTAGACAGTTTGACAAATATTTGTTTAAACACCATATATTTGGCAAAGTTATCACATTCATTGATTAATACAGGCATCTTCCTGAAAAATTAGGCACAACATTTAAATTTTTTACACTCAATTCATACACTGAATTAACTGAATTTAAACCTCAATTGTGTAACTTCTTTAAGCTGAATTAATTACTGAGACTTGGCGTGTTACTTTATGGATTAAGTAAAAAAGTGATAAAATGCCTCAATTTAAAGTAAAATTCTTACACTCGATTCACACACTGAATTAACTGAATTCAAACCTCCATAGTATAACTTCCTTAAGCTGAATTATGGAGATCTGGCATGTTTTTGTGTGGATTAAGTAAAAAAAAGTGATAAAATGCTTTCATTTTAAAGAAGAAAATATAAATTCGAAACTAAATGTAAAATGTAGGTCAGGTAGTTCTTGCATAGTGCTGCATGTTTGACATGTTTAATGTGAGGGTGATCAATACTGCTTTGAAATAGATCACTGCAACAAACGTTTGTCAAACTCCATATGTCAATAACACATGTACACATTGATCTTCACAGCTGATCCAAGAGAATGAAAGTAATATACAATGACGTATGTACAAACCCAGAAATCAACACCCGTTACAATGATACATACAATAACATGTCGCTATTAACGTGACTATGATAACAACAACAACATGTCACTCAAACAAACCCATATAAATAACACCGAGATCTCCCGCTGTCCCTAGCGTATATATACACATTATATGATTGAGCATACCTCAGGTGGACACTGACAAGGGTCTCAGGCTTCAAGAACATTTCAAAAGAGGACATATTACTTTTAAAGAAATTAATAATTTTTGTTAATTAGAAACATTACATATTCAACCATCCTTTCATAAAAATTACTTTGAGAACTTATAAGCACTGGCAAGGAAGTTACAATCAATTAAGTATCTGAAGAAAAGTAACTGGCCAAGAAAATTGAGTTTTGTGGGTACTTGTTCTTGGCTGTGAAGGTATCGCTTGCCTCTTCATCAGTGATGGACAAATGGAAAAAAGACAAGTGGATTGTGAGATCAGAGTAATACCTTCATCACCGACAGTAGCTCTGGGATACGATCGACAGAGGGTTATCGATCTGTGAAGTGTCTATATAAACTGCGTTCTGGAGCATGCTTGTATCATGACTTGGTGCCATTCGGCGCCCGATGTACCTGCGTACCAACTTCGGAAGTGGATTAGCCTGCAGTGATAGCGGCATCGGACGCTTGATTCCACCATCGGTGTATTTCAACAAAACTTTCTCCATTTTCATGTTCCTGAGGCCAGTATTGCTACTGCCCCTGCCTTTGGTTTGGGGGATGAAGGACGCACTTGGGGGGCGGGGGTGTTTGTACCCGCTGCAGGGGCGGAATGGCGTAGCAGCAAATCGTGCACTTCGAGCACGTCCGTACGACATGGTAACGATAACGCTGTCTTGTCGACATCGGCAGTTTGGGTTGACGTTATCGAGATGTAAGTTCATTCCACCCCCACACTCACTACAAGTTCGGCCCCATGTGCCGTCGATTAATGCATCTACACAACCTGTTAATAGAGGAAAACAGTTAGGAGTTAGTCTGGAGCAAGCCAAGAAATATTAAAGCAGCAATAGGCACCAAACTGGATTATACTGGCACACTTCACTCAACAATTCTACATAAAACATCAATATACTGGCATTATTCTGTCACTATTAACATGATTAAGAGCACACACATAACCTCATATTATCCCATTACAATAGAGAGCACTGCATCTGAAGTTCAACAAGAGTTCCACAGTTGCCATTTTCTTTCATTCTGGTACCAGGACTGACAGACTGAGTTTGGTTTTACGCCGCTTTTAGCAATATTCCAGCAACATTACGGTGGGGAACACCAGAAATGGGCTTCACACATTGTACCCATGTGGGGATTCGAACCCGGGTCTTCGGCGTGACGAGCCAACGCTTTAACCATTAGGCTACCCCACCGTCCCTCTGGTACCAGGAACCAAAAAATATCCAAAAGAAGAAACAAGAATATGTACAAGCATAATCACGATAAAAAATATAAGTATACATATTCATAACATATATGAAATAAATGAAAGAATATAGAAAATATTTGTCACTATATTTTATATATAATTATAAGTTTATGTATATATTTACATATAGACATAAGCTGAAAAAATAACTATGTTCAACTGATACTATTAAAATCAAATGATTCATTATACAATGCCCTGTTGACAAGTAACGTGTTAGATAGCATCATTTTAAAGCACACTACACATTTAGTTGCAATCTCTGTCAGCCTATGTATGTGGGAGAGAGGGTTACACCATGCTGTTATTTACAACATTCGTTAATGTCACTGCAAAACCATCCAGGATTATGAAATGATCTGATGTCAAGGCCATAATGAACCTGTATTCTGAAATATACTGGAAATGATAATCCATGCAGAACAAAGCACGTGCTGACTCAGGGCTGTATATGCTGAAGGCAAGATAAGTAGACAAGTTCCATATCATGCTCCTACTCTAGACAAGAATTACATTACTACCTTGAAATTGAGTGAATCTCTATGAGATCTCCCGCATTTTGTACTTAGGTAATTTATATCTTAACAACTTTTGCCAACTTGATGCAAATTTATACATTTTCAACCTAGATGACACATGTCATCCTCCTGTCACTCAAGTCATCCTATTGTCATCTATTTCATATCAAGTTCCAGGGGCAAATACAGCTTCTTGAGAAAGAGGGGGTGCAGTTAATTGTCACCCCTTTTCACGAGAGTTTAATAAACTTTCAGGACAAAAGGAGCAGACCCCCCACCCCCACCCCCACGTGTTCATATCTTCAAAAACAAGTGCAGAGACTTTTCATTGTAGTAATTTTTCATTATAATTAGATTCAAGGGTTTTTACTTATTCATTTATTCATACTAAAAGTGTAAATCATGTACAAATCATGTAGACATGTTAATATGTCTGACAGCTGGCCTGATTTCTTCCTGTCACAGTTTTTTTTACACATGATGGAGTGGAGCTGAATTGAGTAAATCACTACAAAATCCAAGTTCTAGAATCCTACCAAGTTGTTGACCAAGCTTATTGTACCACTGTATATATTTAACCTACTGGTACATGTTTCCTAAGAGGATCAGTCTTGATGACTTGCTTATCAGGAACACCCTACCTATGTACACCTCTGTATTTGGTAGTTACTGAGACTACAACACTCAAGTGGTGAAAATATTCATATCTATCTGATGCGTTTCACACCTGTTTCTAAGGGTTTTACTCATTTCTGAAATAAGACAGATCTGGTGGGCCAAACAGGGTTTTCCCAAACAAAAAGCCTATTTCTTTTCAGTCCGTACAATTACCTGTATCTCATAAATATATATCAAACTTTACTTTTGATTTATCCTTGGTACTTGGAGAATTATAAATTATTATTTATTTAAGATTAATTGTGGGAGTTTTCTGTTGAAGCTAGTTAATTCTTAATTAGAATAAGAATAGAAACAAACATATCTCTACTCCATGAGGATCACTAATAAGATGAAATCCTGCAATATGTATCAACAAAACTATGAAACAGGATTAGACAAGACGTTAAATGATGATGAGAATGGATGAAGTGCAAGAAAATGATGCATACAACAAAACACAGACACAGACATCTCTTGACACCTAAAAATTAACAAAAAATAGGATTAAAATCCAAGTGGCATCATGTGCATCTTAATCCTCCCATTCACATTATTATATAATTTCTATTTAAATATACATGCAGTTGTGTCTATCACTCTATCTCCTGCCGAGGCAAGGCTGAGAAACAAACACCTTGTCAGTATAACAATAAATGAAATCTGTGATGGCTGTTTAGCTGCTGCAGGTGTACAACTTCAGCATGCAGTCTAAGGCAGTGAACATCCATCATTGTGGCATGAGGTGCAACAGTTATATACTGCAAGTGGCTACAATATTTGTAACATATATGATAATCACCTTCTACTTCGAATGTACTTTCTTTCGTTTCTAATGGAAAAAAAGACAAGATAACTAAATTCTTATTTACTTCAAAGAAACTTTAAAATATATCAATACTACTAAAAAATATTAAGGATCACCTGATTGTTTCATGACAGATTTTCATGAAAGAAAGGGGTAGGGCATCACTGTTTTTCTGAGTAGTATATTTGTGTCATTAAATGTTTTCATTACGTTTCCTGTATATTTAATTTACTACTAGATGATGAGTCAGTGAGTGAGTTTAGTTTTGCACCGCTTTTAGCAATATTCCAGCAATATCACAGCAGGGTACACCAGAAATGGACTTCACACATTGTACCCATGTGAGTTATCGAACCTGTGTCAAACCTGTGATGAGCGAGAGCTTTAACCACTAGGCTACCCCACACCCCCAATGAAACTAAAGAGACAAGAGAGTGAGTGAGATAATTATGCTTAACACTGATAAACAGCAGCATATTCATGGCGCTGATTAAGGATCTTCATCTGGGATTTGAACCCCTGACTACATAATCCTGTCACATCTAGGGGAAGTAACTCTGCACAATGTACCATGAACACAGAACACAGGGCAACCAATCACTCCCCTTCACTTTAGATGTACATTCTATAACAATGTTAAAGAAATGTCATTTTGCCAACTATCATGATATACAATGATATACAATGATATATATGCAGATATAAAATAGCATAGTGAAGACACAGATAAGGCACATAGTGGAACGATGACAGCATGTAGACATGGCTGACAAAGGTTTAAATGAAAATCATCATGTCTCCAGTCTACTGGAACATCAAACGTGGAATTGCAAACAAATCAGCACTATGGATTTGAAAATTGAAGAAATGATTCTGCAAATAAATTAAAGTTTAAATAATGTCCCTGCACATGTTTCACTATTTCAGGACAATATTATTAATATTAATAATGAATTTAATAACTCTTTTAACCAAGGGATTAAATATTGACATGTTATTCATACAGCTTTTAATGTTTCTTGTGAGAAGATAAAGATATTAATAAGAATTTTAAAAGATCTGATTCTTATTATTAAGTTTAAATTTTTTTTTTTTTTTATAAAAATGTTTGAAAGCGAGGCTGTAGCAACACATCATATATGGATGTTTCAGATACTGATGCTGGTAGTGAAACATGTGCAACACTGTGACATGTCAAGTGTTCATTGGCTGGCTGATGTGCAACGAACAGTTGACATGTGAACATGCAGTAGGAAGATAGTATCTCTATATGACGCCAGAGAGAGAGAGGATGCAGCAGGGTGGGGCTGGGTGGATCAGGGTGGGGCATATGGGTAGGTGATATTCTCGGATGAGACATCTAAATGCTACAAATCAACACAGCAAACAAAACTGGAGCTGTAAATGTCAAACTTTGAAAATTTCAAATGAGACTGGAATGGCTTCTGTGTCACTACAAAAACCAAATGTGATATTTCTTCATGTCAGTCATAAATAACTGACAACCCACAACCAGGAAGGTAATTTTCCATTCAGAATTAAGATCTACAAAATTTGCGAATTCAATAATCATGCAAATACAGAAATGAATGAGTTTGACATACCGACATTTGTTTGTGTCTGTAGATTTGTGCACTTAGTGGATGGATATGTGCGACAAGACCAGAAACAAATATACTGACAAATTTTGTCTCGGGTTAGGTATGTGTTGGTCGGTGCATGTGCAACGCATGCCTTGGTATTAGTAGCATAGGTAGATTAAGCTATCCCTTACTAATTTATTCACCTCTGAAAATATTATCAAGTTTTCAAAAACAAAATAAACATATATTTAAGAAATGTTAAACAGTACTACAGTTTTAGTCTAAAAAAAGAAAATATTTTGAAAGATTAGCCAAAGAAAAATATGAATTACTCATATTAACCATAGACTGTTGATTCTAAAATAATAATTATAAAGCATATAGGTGAAGCAGGCTGTTAGAGATCCCCAAGACACCCGGAAATCTTATACGAGGCTGTTGACTTAGAGGTACGAAGCAGAAGGAAGTAAAAGGCATGCCTTGCACATGCTGTAAAATGGTGCTACCTGGTGCGGACAAACTGACCAAGACCTTGACCCTGCTCAGACAGGGTCAGCTGTGCTTGTTAAAGATAGGGACCTTAATGAGAGGAAGTTTGCGCACCACAGTGTACGGCGACGATTTGCTGGTCATTGTCAATTTGATTGGTCCAAGTTTTGGCCGAGCCTGGCCTTGTTTCCTACGGCGCTTTTTACCTTTCGGGAAACAAAGAGAAATAATACATGAGTCGACATAATGAGCTAGGAGGCTGTCGGAGATGGAACACGGCACAACACAAGACACAATGTGGCCAGCTCACAGAGAGGCTGGCAACTGTGAGAATGAGGCTGATGATCACATGACATGAGACAACCGTGACTACAGTTATGACGGATGAAGGTTAGTTGATGATTGTTATAACAGTGACTTGTTATTTCAAACCGTGTTATTCAAGTTGGTAGTTAATGGTTT